TGCGAAATAAAAGTAACTTTTGATTATTTTTTACACAGCACTTAAATTTCTTTGAAGTTTAATTACTTTTGAAGGGGGTTAATTACCAGGTAACAAGTGATAATTGAAAAACTTTATTTTCAAACTTTCATAACCAGGTTACATGTGATAATTGCAACACTCAATCTTCAAAAACAAATAGAATTTGAATGTATATTTTGTATGTGCGCGGTCTTTAACTACAGTCAATGGTATGTGTGGTAAGAAAATGATTCTGAAGAGGATATATATCAATACAATGTAAATCTATTTTCTTTATTAACATTTTTAAATGAAATAGAAAATATACAACTAAATTTGTATAGCCCTTTCTTTGAAAACTAATTAGAATAAACATATGACAAATAAATCATTTGACGTGAATTGTGAAGGATAAATATGAAAAAAATCTGTTTCAAAATAAAAAAATATATTATAAAACAGCTGTTCCGTATGCAAATAAAAGTTTCTTCCTTACCAATCTAATGAATTAATCTATATATGAACGCTTGTCTAGAATGATCTGAAAATATATTTAATACACTTATTAGTAGAATATTTACTATATTTATAGTAATTAAATATACAGGTAATCAAATAAAAAATGTACACATCATTTGGAAATAATTCACAGAAATAAAGACAAATTTCAGACTTAAATTTCTTCAAAAGTTTTTAAGCAATCAAGAAACATTTTTTTTGCAATGCACCCATTAAACCATGTTAAAAAGAATTATCTTAATCTGAATCGCGGTAATAATTTGTGCTTGAAGTAAAAGGGCGTCAAAGTGTAGAGAGTATGCCTAAACAATAGGCGAATATTTTTTAAATTAGGTACTTTTTTAACTAAGCGTAGCATCGTTCTATCGGCATATTTTAATATATAAATACTTTAGCGACACAAAATAATACTGTATCGATACATTCATATGTATTTAATTTTTCACAAAGCTACAATAACACCACATACTCTTGTGAAAATCAGTCATATTTCGCACTCCGCGCGTTCCGCCATCTCACGTTCTGTCCACCTTTATCCTATGTGCGATTCCGCGCATGCGCGCGACGAGACTTTAAGCTAAACGGAAGTGTCCGATCCTTGTAATATAAATCCGTGATATCTGGCAGCGGGAAACATGAACAAGATTTAAGCAAGAGAAAAGAAAGGAGACAAAATGCCTAAATCTGCAATTGTAATTCTAATGCATATATTTTTTTTGTGATCTTTTCCTTTCAAAATAAAATAAATAAACGATCATAAATGTTATTCATTACATAAATCAATGATTGCCCTTGATTTAAAGTAAAATTGTATTTTAAATAACGAAAATTATCACAAGTAACTGTTGAGCTATGCAGTATCTTGGCCATGTTTTGCCACGAGAGTTTTCGTTCTTTTGCAAACATTCGCATCATTGTATTTTATATATCTTTGGTATTACATACACTCACAGGGATTTATTTGGCCAATTTTATAGTTGTTATTGGGTTATATTCCCAATCAAAAATAGTATATTTTTTCCCAATTCATAGACAAAAATTCCCAATTGAAGGACAAAAAAATAAACTGGAAATAGATAAGAAAAAGGAATCTTACATTGTAGAAGCTTTGTAATGATAAAAGTAAGCATGAAAGACCACTTTATCTTTGTTTTCCGGTATAATTGTTTGAATTTTTGAAATTGTAGTATCATATTTTTTCCCAGAAGAAGACACAAAATGGGAATACTTATTTTTGATTCTTAGGCATTTAAAAGGGTATTTTTTTTCTGCGTCACAGAAAACGCACTGATTGAATTTCATTGCGTCATGCATGAAAAAGTGCATCAAAAATGTGCTCTTGAAGAAACACTGGTCATCAATGCTCTTTCATACTCAAAAATTTCGAACCTTATAAAATCTTAGTACCCAAAAGAATTTTGTTGCCCAAAAATTTCTAACTGAAAGTAAAAAAAAAAGATTAGTGTCAGTGTTAAAAAAAAAAAATAGGGTCGATCGGGTTCCCTGAATGAGACATTATTTTGCCTAACATCAACATGACAATTATATGTATATGGGAATTGATCTTGTGAATCTGTGATTTTCCACGGCAGATCTTTTATTACCCGTCAGCGGTTGTTTGTTGCAGCTGACCACAGTATGTCCTCTGGGACTTTCTGGAAAAATCACTAGAGCTATATATACTGTATATGGCTTGCAGTTCCTTACCACTAACAGAACAGTAACCAACACGACATTTAACTTATGAAGCGTCATACTGAACAAAAATGTAGGCGCTCTAAATGTAATGTGGCATAAATCAGAAAGTCGAATTATATTTATTCATCATGGCTATGGCTAAAAATAGTCCTTCAGATTTCCCAACTTATATATAAATATAGGCAAAAAACGCTTTAAGAATTTTTAAATTTTTAATTCAATTTGGCTGATTTTTTTAACTAGACCAGTGGAACCAGCATATTAATTGATTTAAAAATAATTCCTTTATTGAATTATGCACATGATTTACTTGAGAAAAGGTTTTATATAAGGTAAATTGTGGTTTTTATCAGAATAGTAGAGTGGTCAGTAGACAGAGTAGGCAGAGCCTCTTTAAGCAACATTTAAGGTATATGTTGAAAGAGATGTATGCATGAAGCTGGAACAGTTTTCTTTAGTTTTGGGAGCCAGAATTAGTAGCACATCAGATGTTAACTTACACACAGGAAGTTCAGCCATTTTCAAAATGGCTTCTAGTACATGTGCTCGCGCAGTTGGTTTTATAAAAACAAAAGATTATGATGTTTTTGATCAGTGTTGTACATTTTGTTTGACAAAAGAAATAGATTATCACTCAAGTCATTACTTGATTAAAGACAAAACTGTTTTTTATGTGCATTTATTTTCAATAGAATCAAGTAAACGTGTGATTACATTTATGAACAAATTAGGTTTAAAGTACATTTATATTAATTGCGTGATTCAGGATGGTGACACTTTGTAAAAAGGAATTTTTATTACAGGTTACATATCATTTTGTTTTTAGTCCCCTTCCAATGTTCACAATAGGTGACTATAGATTTGAACTACTTCTGTCTGCTGGACCAAAAATCTCAATAACATTATAATATACCATTTCATTTATTTAAATTGAGAAAAAAAAATTGATAAAACTAATTACTTGGTACATGAACAGATTGCAATTTTTATGGAGATAATGCACATCACCTTGCAAGTCACTTGTTTGGCTTTTCTGTATTGCCTTGAAAAAGGCAACATATTGAGATTACTTTAGGCGGCGGTGGTGTCACTGCATCGGGGCGTCCCTCAAAGCTTGTACGGAGCATAACTCAGTCACTATAAGTCAGATTGAACAGGAGTGCAGTGCACAAGAATCATTACTCTGCGCTTCTTAATTTTTTAGCTTGACTATTTTAAAAATATTTGAGTTTATGCAGTCGCCTGTTAGTCTGCGTTGGCGTCCTTCAGGTTAAGTATTTGCGTGCAAGATGGTATCTCCATAAGTACTGAAGAGAATGAAACTTCATATAACTGTTAACTGTGATTATTTTACATGATAAGACTAGGTTATATAACTCTGACAAACATTCCGAAAAGTGCCGGTCCGACGGACCTGACGGGTCAAATTACGTTTGGACCAGGAAAAATTCTGTCATAGCCGGCTGTGCAAGGTTTTAGTTATGGCCTAATTTCTGCTCCATTCCCCCTGAAAATAATATGTTGTCAGTCTGGGAATTTAAGATTTGAAGCTACTCTGAATTGTGAAATGTAAATAATTTTTCCCTTATACTCTTTACAATCTTCTTGGAAAAGTTTATTTTTCGAAAAAAAATAATAACTTGTCTCAGAAGCGCTTTCTGCAGACTGTTTTTTCCCCTCTTTTTTAAAGCTGAAATTTCCCCTAAATATCAAATTAGTAAAACTCACAGAAAATAGCCGGGATAAAAATTATCCCAGGGGGCACTTGTACAGACTTATAAGTCTGCAGGTGTGTAAAGTCCATATCTCTGGAGAAATATTTTTACCCATTGGCAAAGTCACGGTAAAATCTCAAGTCTGGTGCCATTAGATTTAAACATTAGAAGAATCTGTCATTTTAATTTGGTGGTTATCCCATTTTGGCTTCATATTTTTTAAGGTCCAGAAAGATACTGTTAGTTAAAATGAAACGTTGAATTGAAACAACTAAGCTTTATCTTCAGCTTATGATGAGAAGATCAACAAGACGTACTGGAAATTTTAAAGTGGTGATAGTGTTTTGAGGGGAAATTGAAAAAGGGATTTTTGACCCTGGGGATATAAAAATTTGGAAAACTTTTACCCTTTTAAAAGGAAATTTGGGTAGTTATCCCAAGATTTTTAAACGCTGTGGTATTTTCAAGTAGAAAAAAGGGTTTGGTATTGTAACCTGCATTGTTTTTCCTTATCTACACTGGGAAGTTTTTTTCTTCAGTTGCAGGTATAACAGATTTTCAGTGTTTGGAAAGCTGAATGATAGTTAGGTTTTGGAACTGTCTTATTTAATTAACATAAAATAACAGAAGCAAGATACTTGCATTGTCCTTTGTTGTCATTTAGGTGCTTTTTAATCTAAAATAAAAAACATACTGTTGACTTACGTTAAGGTTATGGTTGTGGCCTGTGGGACTCAAATCACAACCTCTATAACTGGAATGGATGCTACCTGCAGTTGGTGCAATTAATTAATTTTAGTATGTGAGGAAATAAAAAATGTTTATAGACAAAAATGTTTGTGACCATCCTTAAACCAAAACAAGATGATAAGAAAACCTTTAAATTTGTGTTGGAAATTTGTGTTGTCTGTTGTGAGGATAATAATAAACTTAATCAAAGTAGCAATGAGAACTCCACCATCTGTCATTTATTGTCTTTTGTAATTCAGTAATGTGCAAATAGAAACTAAGAATTAAAAGCTTAGGTCTAAAACCTCAACTGGTGGCAGGATTGATGTTACATTTCAGGGCGTGGTGTTAAAACAACAATAGAAAGGTTCAAGGGTGACTTTCTGTTGCACTATAAAGGAGAAACAATATCTGCAGCCGAAGGAGAACAGAGAGAGGGGAGAAACAGCACTGGATATAGATTTTTCTACAGTGACATGAAAGATAATTTGTGGTATTAAAAGTTTTATATCAGATTCTATTCTTAATACATGTATAATCCTTCAAAATGCTTGCAGTAGAAAATAACTTTAAATGTCTATTTCTTATAAACTTACATCCTTGCATTGTTCTAGTTTAATAAGCAGGATAGGTCTTGCCTCATTTCACTTCACTGCCATTGTTCCTAAAAAGTAAAACAACAGGGTTTTATTAGATGTCTGGTGAAACAATTTGTGTGCATTTTTTAAGGTCCTTATGTGAAAAATTGATGTTGTTTCCACTCTGCACCCTAACTTCCACAACTCACTAAAATAGTTTCATATTGTTTAGGTGACTATGATATCGCTTGCACCAAAAATGTGTTTTACTAGAAATGTAAAATGTATCATCTTTCATGTTAATGTCTGCAGTCTTATTGCCCAGATTGGCAGCAATCTTCAAAATTTTGGTTACCCAGATAAAAGTCTATAAGCCAAAACCCTAAATGCCCATTAACTCAAAATGAATAAACAAGTATGAATCAAAAACATGTCAGTGTATAGACTATAGTATATCAAAACACTGTTTTTTGCCCATGTTTTGCTGTTTAAATATTCTTTCCCAAATTTGGGTATTTCTTTAAAGGAAATTTTTAGGGGGCCATTTAAACCCTTTGGGTTTTGTCGGGACTTTTTTTGACGTGTTGATGCTACAGAGGAGACAAACAGACTTGGTAGATTGGTAAACCATGGTAGAAAAAAGGAAAGAAATTCCATTATGAAATTCGTTAAAGGATGTGGTTTAGTTCTGTTTGCACTGAGGTATGTATACTGTATTTTTGTACTTGACAACACACATGCTTTATTAAAAAATTGTTTTTATCATATACATAGTTGTGAATTTTTCTGAATCTACAGTGTATAGTCCATTGCTGGTTTTACGGAATGCACACACTCACTGGACTAACTTCGCCAAAAAAAAAGTTATGCTAAACTAAAAGTATAACATAGAGGTATGCATGCTCTTCATTATTAGCACACTTGCAAAATGGGGGCATTCACGTCCTATATACACAGTACTGGTTTGCAAAGTTATGTCCAGGTTTAAACTTAGAATTGCATGAAATGTTTTTTATGTTCTGGTTATTGAAAGGAATTTACTCAAACTTCACACACATTTGACTTAACGTTTGCATTTACATGTATCTTCAAGCACTGTGAATAGCCACACGCTCTGTCTTACGGACAGCTCTTGTTATTTTGCTTTTGTTTGGTCTACATTTTATGCTCTTATATGTCAGTCATATTTGAAACACAAGCAACATTGTAAGATAAATGTTATTTTTTCAGAAACATCAAAGCAGGTGAAGAATTGTTGTATGATTATGGCCTAAAAGACCTACCGTGGGAAAAGGTAAATTTGTACTCTTATTTTAGCCCTCATAAATTTCTAGGTCATTATATTCCCTGGGTCGTGTCTGTCCACGCAGAGGTTGAAAAGATTTAACCATTGGATCATTGTCTTGGATATTTTCAATCCCCAAATATAATGATACTCCAGGAAGTTTTTTTTTAAGTTTTTACTGTATGTACATAGTGAAAATCAGTTACCCCTGGTATGCAGCCTATTTTGACTCTAGGGCTATAATTTGAACAATCTCAATGCCTTATGTAATAATTTCTAAGACTTAGACTGTGTGAGTCTTTACAAGAAGGTTTTTTTTTATTTATTATTCTTTTCATTCCTTTTGGTTGCCATGATGGCAACCAGATTTCTGTATGGAATCAAATTATTTGAACAACTTTGGAAGCCCTTCACTCAAGTTGAAGGATTTTTAGCCGAGTTACTGCTCTAAAATAAAAAATGTGTTTTGCCCTATTAATGATTTTTAGGTCTCCTGCTTTACCATAGCTACAACATGCAATTTGCTGTCATGAGGTGACACATTTCATTACTGATGGACCTTGTATTTGAAAAGGGAGTGAAGTGCAATTCAGGAACAGCAGCCCTCAGTTTTAAATGGTCTTAGAGGGCAAGAAATGTGTCTGAATCTTAGTATTAGAAACACTTAATGCATATTTAAATTATTTGACACTAGAAATAATACTTAAAATTTCAAATTTTTGCGCTCCCAATATCTACTTATTATCTTCAATAAGATTAAACAATTGAAGAGATCAATATGTAAAAGAGTGGCGGCGTGGCCGAGTGGTTAACGCGTCGGACTAGTAATCGAGGGATCGCTAGCTGCGTGGGTTCAAAACCCAGACAGGGCTAAGCCGTTGTTTCTTTGAGCAAGAAACTTAACACTCATTGCTCAGTACTGGTTGGTTCCAGGAACGGATTCGAGAGTGTGTCTATAAGCTTATAGCTTCCTACACAATCGAACTAAAATAACTTGTGTATAAACTAATATGTAATAGTTGAAAAATAAGCCACAGAATTCAAAATTTGTATGATCATTGTATATGCTGTGTATATGAAGAAGTCCTACATGCATGTATATTGCATTTTTTTTACAGAATAAAATCCAAAGTAAGATTAAGTCAGGTTAATTTGTAAATTGTTAAAAGTTGTTAGAAATTATAGGGTTCGACACTAACACAGTCCCAAGATCCCGAGGGGACACCAAAAATTGCCAAGGTTTCCTTAACTTCAAATTCAGAAGTTCCATTAGGACTATGATAATTAAAGAGAAATCATCAAAATGAGTGATATCTATTATTGTGCAACATATAATTTATCAACACATTTTAAATATCCTTCATAATTTGACACTGAAAATGAAAATAGTGCAACAGGTCTATTTAATTTATGGTACTGTACCATAACCCTGCTTGAAAAATTAACTTTCCTTTGATTTGACTTGTCTTGATTATATTATTTAACAGTAAGTATAGTGTCTTTATAATTAGTCCTATGCATTGAAAGAAATAATTTTTATAATCAGTCCTATTCATTGAAAGAAAGTTAAGTTACAATTTTAGTTTGTTAAATTTTAAAACAATTTTACTATGGTTTTTTAAAATTTAAAGTAATAATGATTTAAGGGACTTGGGACTTCCGATTTCCACAGCAGAAGTTCCGTAGGGATTCTTGGCTGAAAAATAGGGCAAAAAAATATATGTCAGGTTCAGGGAACATGACCGACTCTAGTTTTTTAATGCCGACCCTAAACTTTTTTTTGACTCAGTACGAATTTTTTTGGGTACATAATTTTTTTGAGTACAAAAAATTTAAAAGGTTTAAAATTTTTGAGAACTAAGATCATTGATGTTACCCTCCTAATTTTTTGGACCAATATTACCTGAACCAGACATAATTTTTTTGGCCTTAGTGTCAAACTCTAAATTTTTAGTTGTTATTTTATCACAGGGAATTGGCATATTTTTTGGGCAGTGTAAAAGTTCCAGCCATAAAAAAAATCATACCTTTTGTGGGCCAAGTAAAATCAGTTAACCAGCTATCTTTTAAAAATGAATGTGCTAATTGTCAAATTCTTTGTCACTATGCACATTTGACTAAAGCTTTTGAGATTTTTTTCAGACATTACCAAAACTTTGTCAATTTTATATCAAAACAATTTTCAACGAAACATCAAATATATAATACTGTGCATTTTTTACTAGGGCATTGGTCAGTTTCCTCTATACGACCAATCACCAAGCTTGTTTTGTAATAGGAGTGAGAGGCCTCATATGGGGTGAAAAAGCATTGTATAGTATCAATTTATTTGTGCTGACGGAGATGGTGTACGAATAAAATTTATGCATTTTAAACACGGATTAAACAACATCGGGAAAAATGAATGTTCACACTCAAGTATGGTGAGAATATCTGCATTAAGCCTTTTTTCTTGGCTCAGAATTTCACTTGTCCACTAAGCAAAAAATTTGTTGAGCCAGCAAAAAGTCCAGAGTCAGTTTAGTTGGGCATAATCAGTGTTTCTTCCAGCCCCAATTTTTTAGGGGTCATTTTTGACCCCCTACATTAGATTTTAGGGGTCAGTGGAAATTTTTTAGGTTATGTGTAACCTGTAATGAAAACCAATGCAGTTCAACATATTTATGTACATTTTAAGATGCAAAGGAAAACTGAATATGCCTTAGAGTTTAAACATTTACTCTTCTTATTTTTTTCATAACATCAAAAAATATAATAATAACAATTGATGCATACCAAAAAGTTTCATTCTGGACAAAGTAAAAGGCCAGTATTAATAGCCACATCCACTAGAATTCAATCAACCATTGATAAATTAAGTGGGAAAAAAATGTTGCATAAAAATCATCCGTAGGTTCTCCATAAATGGTGAAAATTGCATTGAAAGTACTCCAGATTGCTCCTATTACAACTGTCATCGCATTACACCTGTCACTTGTATCAGCGAGTTTATAATTGTTAACACGTTTGCATCATGTTCATTGCGTCATACATGAAAAAAAGCGCCAAAAACGCGCTCTGGAAGAAACACTGCATAATAATTCCGCAATTGCTGGAGACTCCTACATTGCTTACAATTATTTTCATTATCTGTTGCATCTGTTTTTGTTTCTTTACCTCCTATCCCTATGTTTTTAGCTTAAGCTGCAAAACAGACTGCTTCTTAAATGTAAATATTGTTTTTGCTTCAGTTTCTTTAGAATTTACCATTTTGCAAAATTAGGCATGAAGTTTTAAATAATGAGGTTAAATAAACTTTAAACAGCTACATAAATGTTCATACTCAGTTTTAAGTCAAAAAGTTTTTTTCCAATTGCTCATTATTTTTCGTGATTTACAGTAACATGATTTCATGACAGCAGAAGTTTCCAAGTCAAATTTAATGTTTGATACTGTTAAGAAATACTTTATTTGCTAGTAAAGGAAATAAGGAACTGATGTACTCAAAATCATGTAGTGTTGATAGGGCTGTCATTGGTGGAAAAGTTTGTATCAACATATCAAAAGACAAATATTGATGATATATCAACTTTGACAATGAAAAAACATATAAATATGAGTAATAAATTGTCATCATGGTCTTATGCATGCTTATATTAGACATATTAGACATTACAAATACTACAAACAAACAGCAAGATCTTCTGTTTTTTTTTGTCACTGACACCTGAAAATGGAATTAAGAGTTCAAGCTAGCTGTTGAAACCTAGTAGAAGTGACTTCTCTTATAAGGTGAAATAGAAAGGTATATTCACACGGATCAATATTTGAAATTGTGTATCAATATTGCAATATGACAGCCCTAAGTGTTGATATATACATTTTGCCCATTTTTATGCTCCCTGAAAATTTTTTCGGGGGAGCATATAGTCGCCAGGTTGTCTGTCCGTCCGTCCGTACGTACGTCCCGAATTCGTGTCCGGCTCATAACTTTGTTTCTTGAAGTCGGATTTTAAAAATATTTCACATAAATGATCACCATATTGAGACGACGTGTCGCACACAACATTTGGGTCGCTACCTTGAAGGTCAAGGTCACGGCATGACCTTGCAGCATAATCATGTCCGGCCCATAACTTTGTTGTTTGAAGTCGGATTTTAGAACTATTTCACAGAAATGATCATCATATTGAGACGAAGTGTCACAAGCAACATTTGGGTGGCTACCTTCAAGGTCAAGGTCACAGCATGACCTTGCAACAAAATCATGTCCAGCCCATAACTTCGTTATTTGAAGTCAGATTTAACAACTATTTCACTGAAATGATCACCATATTGAGTTGACGTGTCCCGCACAACATTTGGGTCACTACCTTGAAGGTCAAGGTCACAGCATGACCTTGCAGCAAAATCGTGTCCGGCCCATAACTTTGTTATTTGAAGTTGGATTTTATAACTATTTCACAGAAATGATCACCATGTTGAGACAATGTGTCGGGTGGTACATTTGGGTCGCTACCTTGAAGGTCAAGGTCGCAGTATGACCTTGCAGCAAAATCGTGTCTGGTCCATAACTTTGTTATTTGAAGTCGGATTTTATAACTATTTCACAGAAATGATCACCATATTGAGACGATGTTTTGTGCACAACATTTGGGTCGCTACCTTGAAGGTCATGGTCACAGCATGACCTTGAAGCAAAATAGTGTCCGGCCAATAACTTTTTTATTTGAAGTCGGATTTTACAACTATTTCACAGAAATAATCACCATATTGAGACAATGTGTCACGTGCAACATTTGGGTCACTACCATTCTCAAAATTCACCTCAATAATTATACAACTAACCTTTTTTGTGAAAAAGTACCCATTCGGGGAGCATCACCCATCTTTGATGGTCTCTTGTTATACCCTGGTATAATGAATTTTTCTTACATTTTCTCAACTAATGGTTCAATTTCAGTGCGAAGAGTATTTTGAGGCAGCTTTTGTTGTTCTAACAAAGTTTAAAAAAATGCATTGTTTTCCAGCAAACCCAGAAAGTTCCTTCAACAAAGGCTTTGAAGAAACCAATACAAAAATTGCAGAAGATACTTCATGTCATGACCCTAACACTGAAGAATATTCTCTTGACAAATGTGATAATGTCTTATGTGACATTGATCCTGGTGGTGATGCGGTCCACACAACTTCTACTCCAGAAGGAGCATTTGGTATATAATTTTTGATTTTAGCTTTTCAAGGCCTACTTGTAATGAGGTGCTACATAGGGATTGTGTAAAAATGTTAATAAGAGGTGTTAATTAGAGGTGCTACATTTTAGGTCAGTCTAAGTACTTGATGAAAGATAATGTTTAAATGAATCAGTCCTTGATTAAATCTTGCAACACAGTTCAGAATATTTTAATGTCTTAGTATGAAGAGTATTTTTAGGCAGCTTTTTCTTGTTGTAACATTGTTAAGAAAGTGCACTGTTTTTTAGCAAATACAGAAAGATGTTTCGACAAAGGTCTTGAAGAAAACATTACAAAAATTGTAGAAGAAACTTCATGTTATGACCCCTGCACTGAAGAATATTACCTTGATGAATGTCATAATGTCTTATGTGACAGTGATCCTGGTGATGATGCTGTCCACACAACTTCTACTCCTAAAGTAGCAACTGGTATGTAATGTTTGATTTCAGCTTCTCAAAGTTCACTTGTAATGAGGTGCTACATAGGGAGTGTGTAAAAATGTTAGTTAGAGGTGCTACATTTTAGATCAGTGAAAGTACTTGCTGAAAGATAATGCTTGATTGAATCAGTCCTGGGTTAAATCTTGCAACATAGTTCTGAATATTTAATTGTAATGCCATAATTTATGCATCATAGACTAATCAAAGGAAACTCACTGTATATTTGCCAACTGTAGTGATGTATTATAAGGAAACAGGATTTTTAGCTGGACTTTTCATAAATATTTGAGCTTATGCAGTCACCCATTTGTCGGTGTAGGCGTCCCTGTGGTAAAGTTTTTGTGTGCAAGCTGGTATCTCCATAACAACTGAAGGGAATGGATTGAAACTTCACATAGTTGTTCTCTGTGATAGTATTACATGATTGGCACAAGCCCCATGACTCTTTATTTGCTTTTTTGCATAATAATGCCCTCTTTTTTCGACTTAAAAATTCTTGTTTAAGTTTTTGCATGTAAGCTGTACTTTTTCGAACAATTTTTTTTATGTTTCAATTAGGTAAGCATAATACTCAATGGAGCACCCTTGTGACAAGTTTTTGAATAGTCAAATTTGCTGTTTTTTTTTGTCACTGACACCTGAAAATGGAATTAAGAGTTCAAGCTAGCTGTTGAAACCTAGTAGAAGTGACTTCTCTTATAAGGTGAAATAGAAAGGTATATTCACATGGATCAATATTTGAAATTGTGTATCAATATTGTATTGAATGAGCACCCTTGTGACAAGTTTTTGAATAGTCAAATTTGCTGTCTTCAACAGTTGCTGTCCTCCCGACAGCTCTTCTATATTCTCACCTAATATTTCAGTCTTAGTTTGAAGAGTAATTTGAGGCATCTTTTCTTGTTCTTACACAGTTTTATGTGCATTGTTTTCCAGCAAAGGAAGAAAGTTCCTTCGACAAAGGGTTTGAAGAAACCAATACTAAAATTGAAGAAGAAACTCCCTGTCATGACCCAAAAACTGAAGAATATTCTCTTGACAAATGTGAGAATGTCTTATGTGACAGTGTTCCTTGTGGTGATGCGGTCCACACAACTTCTACTCCAGAAGTAGCAACTGGTTTGTTATGTTTTATTTCAACATCTCAAGGTTCACTTGTATTAGGTGCTACGTAGCAAGTGTGTTGAAATGTTAAAAAGAGGTGCTACATATTAGGTCAGTCTAAGTACTTGATGAAAGATATTTAAATGAAACAGTCCTAGATTAAATCTTGCAAAACAGTTCAGAATATTTTATTGTAACTTAATATCATATGCATCATAGACTTATAAAAGGAAACCTACTGTATGTCTGCCAACTGCAGTGATGTATAATAAGGAGACATAATTTTTTTTTCTCAACTAATGTTTCAGTCGAAGTATGAAGAGTATTTTTAGGCAGCTTTTTCTTGTTGTAACATGGTTAAAAAAGTGCATTGTTTTCCAGCTAAGGAAGAAAGATGTTTCTACAAAGGTCTTGAAGAAAACATTACAAAAATTGTGGAAGAAACTTCATGTCATGACCCCTGCACTGAAGAATATTACCTTGAAGAATGTCATGTTGTCTTATATGACAGTGATCCTGGTGGTGATGCTGTCCACACAACTTCTACTCCTAAAGTAGCAACTGGTATGTAATGTTTGATTTCAGCTTCTCAAAACTCACTTGTAATGAGGTGCTACGTAGGGAGTGTGTTGAAATGTTAATTAGAGGTGCTACATTTTAGGTCAGTCTAAGTACTTGATGAAAGATAATGTTCAAATGAAACAGTCCTAGATTAAATCTTGCAACACAGTTCAGAATATTTTAATGTAACTTAATATCATATGCATCATAGACTAATAAAAGGAAACTTACTGTATTTTTGCCAACTGCAGTGATGTATAATAAGGAAACAGGATTTTTAGCTTAACTACTTATAAAATATTTGAACTTTGCAGTCACCCATTTGTCGGTGTAGGCGTCCCTCCATAACAACTGAAGGGAATGGATTGAAACTTCACATAGTTGTTCTCTGTGATAGTAGGGTTTCTTAATCGGACAAAAATCATAATCGATCATCGAAAATAATTGAACAACCTTTTTCGATCAATCTTCGATTATATAATCGAAACATTTATGATAACAAAGTAAATATGTACAATGCACATGTCATGCTTTAATATTTATAAGAATTCCATTCATATTTTATATTTTGTGTAACTACCACTTAATCAACTGAAATAAACTAGTTACTCATGCTTATGTTCATCCTGGAGTAAAATATTTTAATCAAATAAATTCATTATATCTATGAAATTATTATGTCTCAATTCCAATAAAGGAATGAATAAGCTATGTATGGGAACAAGAGAAGTTGGTCATTAATAAAAATGCCAGGTTTTTTTAATGACACTATATATTTATATTGTAACCATCTTTAGATTAGTGTGTAGAATAATTTTATACATATCTTCTTTGTTTGAAGTAAAAACATGTTTATTTAATATTTACAAATAGACTGTGTAGCAATTTTCTAATTTCAAATTTGAGCATTATTTTTTAAGTATGTCTGTAAACTAGAATGCCTCACTGTCAACTATTAACCTCATGGTCACCAGTATGCTTTCTCAATTTTAATGAAAATTATTGGGTAAACCAAAGCTCAGGCTTTAATTTAAAGTGTTGTTATAATACAGTGAGTCACTTAAGTAACAGCAAGAAGATAAATAACCGATAATCGATTATTGAACTTTGTATTCGATCATCGCTAATCGATCCTATAAACGATCAATTTTCGATTATACTCGATCATCGTTTAATCCCTATGTGATAGTATTACATGATTGGCACAAGCCCCATAACTCTAATTTGCTTTTTTGCATAATAATGCACTCCTTTTTCGACTTAAAAATTCTTGGTTAAGTTTTTGCATGTAAGCTGGTATCTCCATAACTGCTGAAGAGTTTTTGCCATTTTTGGGACAACTTAATGCAGTCTCAATAATCAAGCATTGATGTGCTCGATTAAACATGATAACTGCAAGCCTTAGATTTGTACCTTTTCAAACAATTTTATGTTTCATATAGGTAAGCATTATTTGGCCTCGATATTTGACACCACCTTATTTTGGCAAGGACCACCTTATTTTAAAAGCCACTATTCTGTCAAACCACTTAGATTTTCTGGTTGATCCAAGGCTTATTTGAGAGAGAAAAGCACTTTTGTCAAAAACATTGTTATATTCTTGGTGTTTGAAATCATTTGTCCGATGTACATGTATATTGTTCATTAATCTCTTACTAGTTCATTAAGTTCTTAAGTCATCAATAACTTTCATTTTAAGTTGCTAAAATTGAGTTTATGCAAGTTTACTGGGTCTTAACTTTACGATATTAATTTAGGTAGAATCTTCATTCAAATGATGCTTGATACTGTGAAATTATTAATATTCGTTGGGGATTAATTTTCGTGGATTTCGTGGTTCTGGTAAACCATGAAATTAAGTCCCATGGAACAAATTGTGCCCAAAATAATGTTAGGCATGAAAAATCAGTCAGTTCAATTCAAAAAGCTCGTTTTGGTATGAAGTAAGTACAGGTCAAAAGGTCAATGTCACTAAAAAAAATTCAATGGGCTGTAAAATAATAATGCATATACCTTGATGAGTTCCGCCTGCCACACCGATTCTCAGGTTAAAGGTCACATGGACCATACATATATGTATGTATGTAGTTATGTAATTGGCCATAAAATGATAGTGCATATATTCAGGGACTTGAATATTAGAATATAGATATACTTCCATGAAATTTAACTTCATCTATTTATGTCAAAGGACAATGTCACTGGTACCTGATATTTTTTAAAATGTTACAGGCCATATTGAAAGTGCATATAACTAGGGACTACATCTTGATGAGCTCTACCTCTCTGAACCATTTTCAGGTTCAAAGGTAAAGGTCAATTGGACTTGTTTTAAGAAATGCAACTGGTCATAAAATGAACGTGCATTTACCCAGTAACTTCAAACTTCCTACATGGATGAACCTCATTGACTTCTTCCTGCCACTTAAAGTTTCAGGTCAAAGCCTCTTGCAACCTGTAAAATGAAAGTGCATATGACTTGTAACTTCAAACATCATTTTTGAATGTAATTTTATCATTTCAACCTTCTACACCTATTTTCAAGTCATTATGCCAGAGGTCAAGTTCACTGGCATCTGTTTTAAAATTGGTGATGAAATGACCAGGAACTCCAAACGTCATGCATGGATGCACATTGATGATTTCTACCTCCTTCAGTCATTTGTGGTCATAAGGTCAAGGTTAAATGTGTAAATCGAGCTTTTTACTAATCCAGAGCCATGCTGCTCATTGGACAGCTCTTGTTTAAAAAACAAATTGACTTTTAACTTTTTAAAGTTTGTAGTTTGTTCTCAATGAGAGTCCATGATGCTTAGTATAAATAGAATGTCCTGAAAGAAATTTAACTTTACTGAAGTTGTCTCTGTATTTTTTTTTGCGCTTTGACATACTTGTTTAATATTAGAATTATGTATGTTCATGAAAATTAATCAATATCTTTGATGTGAAAGCATAACTTATGTTGAAAATAAAATATATTTTATCTTGAAATTCTTGTTGAGTTTACATCTCAATTGATTAAGAAGAAAGGAAAATAAAAAAATATATACAGTAGAGCTCCACCATAAACCACCCGTTTGCATGACCAGTCTGCTATTATGATCAATTTTTCAAAGATTTTTTTTCTTATTAGAGTCTTTCTATCCAAAATTAAGACCAACCTGCTATTGCCTTATACAACTATTTTTTCCAAACAATAATTTTGCATGTATTTAGACCATACCTGTTAAATTGTTTAACCATGCGTGACAACACTAATTTTCTGTCAACTGCTGTAGTCAGTATTGTACTTAATTATTAACCCTTGTCCTAACAACATCATGAACGAGTTATTGCAGTTGCTAATTGAAAGATATAATAATTGTCAGATATTCTTCATGTTAAGGTTTTCCTTTTTTTTTAAATGGTAACAAAAATAACCAATTTGTAACAAGAAAATAGAAGGCTTTGTTAATTAATAATGATATTTTCCGATTTAAATTTAGTTTACCTGTTTATTATTCTTGAAAGTTTTGTTCATAACTTCTGCTTTCAGTTAATACAGTGATACCTTCTTAACGGGTGTTTTTAGCCCGAGTATTCCATAAGAGTAAGTAGAGCTATACCAGTCGGCGTCGGCGTAACCACTTATGTTTTGTAACATCTCAAATATTTTCAAAGTCTGTTTACATATGTCTTTGAAACTTTGCACACATGTTCAACATCATAACTCCCAACATGTACACAGGAGGAGATAAATCTATCAAGCATTTAGACAGGATTATGTCCCTTTTTCAACTTACAATTTACGTTTAAGTTTTTGTACCACCTGAAAATAAAGTTGATTATTGGCTTTGAAACTGCACATTTGCTTACCATCATGCCCCAAATGTGATCACTGGAGGAGGTAACTCTATCAAGCATTTATCAGAATAATGCCCCTTTTTCGACTTCGAATTTACATTAAAGTTGGTATACCACCTCATATTTTCATATTACATTGATATTTTGCTTAAATACAAGTTGAAATTTTATACACTTCTTTGAGAGCCTAATAAGACTCTCCAAGGCCTATAACAGTAACATTGATTTTAAGAAAAAATGGCCCTTTTGTTAAATTAGAAAATTTTACATTATCAAGGCTCTTTTACTATTAAGCACTAAGAATAGTCAAGCGACAGCTCTTGTTATGCTGTACTGATGCTGTTTCTGTCATTCCAACTATGAGCTACCATAATTTAATAGTGATACAGAATTTAAATGGAAAGTATTATCTTTAAAAGAAAAGACCAACAAGCGGTCTGGTCTCATTAGTGGGGTTCTATTGTATATTTAACCCCAGAGTGATCTTGGGAAGACATCCAACCCCAAAATGTATCATTTATAATATGATTTCCTGATGTCATCCCCAGAACAACCATTTGTGCAAACATTTGGAGACCTCGCAGTGGTTTTGGACATCAGACTCCACAATGTCTCTCCTGGCTGTATGTCCGTTTTCTTGTCCGGAGCATAACTTGAAAACCCTTGGAGATAATTTGTTTAAACTTCATACAGTGGTAGAGGGCATTGACGGGGAGTGCAGTGTCAAAGAACCATAACTCTATTTTGCCCGGTTTTTGAATTATCTCCCCTTATAGAAAAATCTTGTCCGGGGCATAACTCTAAAACTATAAAAGATATCAACATGAAACTTTGTAGGTGAATAGATCTCAATGGGTAGATGTGCAGTGCATAAGAACAATAACTCTTTTTGTCCTAATTTTGGAGTTATTGCCCTTTGTTAATTTTAACACTGAACTTTGTCCGGAACATAACTCTAAAATTATAAGAGATATCAAGATGAAACATTGTAGGTAGATAGATCTCATTGAGTAGAAGTGCAGTGCAAAAGAACCATAACTCTGTTAAGCCTCATTTTTGAATTATCTCCCCTTATAGAAAAATCTTGTCCGGGCATAACTCTAAAACTATAAGAGATATCAACATGAAACTTTGTAGGTGAATAGATCTCAATGGGTAGATGTGCAGTGCATAAGAACAATAACTCTTTTTGTTCTAATTTTGGAGTTATTGCCCTTTGTTAATTTTAACACTGAACTTTGTCCGGAACATAACTCTAAAATTATAAGAGATATCAAGATGAAACATTGTAGGTAGATAGATCTCATTGAGTAGAAGTGCATTGCAAAAAAAACATAACTCTGTTAAGCCTCATTTTTGAATTATCGCCCCTTTTAGAAAAATCTTGTACTGGACATAGCTGTAAAACTATAAGAGATATCAACATGAAACTTTGTAGGTAGATGTATCTCAATGGGTAGATGTGCAGTGCAAGAGAATCATAACTCTGCCTTGCCTAATTCTGGAGTTATTGCCATTTGTTTATTTTTACTTTTTGAATTTCTCAGGAACATAACTCGGAAACCATAAGAGATATCAACAAGAAACTTTGTAAGTTGATAGATAACAGTGATTAGAAGTGCAGTGAAAAGAACAGTAACTCTGCCTTTCCTAATTTTAGAATTATTGCACTTTGAACTTTTTCCAGGGACATAACTCTGAAACTACAAGAGGTGTACTTTCCTGTGTCCAAAACCTATTTGGGGAGCATCACCCGGCTCAAACCGGGCTCTTGTTTCTTTAAAGTGGCTAAAGGTAGCTGGTTTGCCTTTATGACTCTGGGAGCTGGTATTGTATCTCGAAGCGGTAATCATCTGGTATTGGCGAGTGCATTGTGTTTGAATTTTATCATTTAGTGTGATTTGCCCATCACTATTCCTTTTTCAAAGAAAAATATTTGAAAATCATTCAAAATTCCCCCCTGATATGGACCCTGGCCCCAGTCTCAAAAGGCTTACGAGAGCCCTGGTATTTTATAGGTTATATTAATTCTGATAAGATATATATTTTTTTCAAAAGCTGCAACATTTGTGAAAAATCTAGAGGCCTCATTTTACAACATTCTACCTCGAAAATTAATTTGTAAGACTAATGCAGTAATTCTCACAAATTTCTGTCCCTGAAATCCCCCTATTTTTCCAAAGGGGGAAGTCACTTCTCCTGAAAGTGTCGTCGACTTTGTTTTTGAGTTAAAAAGGATGAAAATGTTTTGAAAGGACTTGATTGAATTAAAGAAATGTAGCCCTAATTGAATTATAATGGTAATGTCGGTTTAAGCCAGCCTACAAATATGGCAACTGTTTACGGTTTTAAAAAGCTTAATCAATTTGTACATCATACAGGTATTGTACAGTTATTTAACACCCTATTGAGACTGGGAGCAAATAATGTCAACTAATCGAAAACTGCAAAGTATTTATTTATTTGAATTATTGTTGGTAATAATCACTTGCATGTACTGTCAATTAAATGAGCACTGTGTAACAAACAAGTCTTGAAGTCTCAGAATTATGGTCTTGGTGATTTCATAGATGAGTTTGAAAATTGGTTATTTGGGCAAAAAAATTGATGATCGGTTAAAAGAATGCAAAAGATGTTCTTCTGAAAAGGAAGTATAAATTACACTGTATAATTTCAGGATGGATATGATTTATTGGAGCCGTCTGCCAGGTTTGCCTCGTAAATTGTATTGGCCAGTGAAAGTGGTGAAATGGGATGAAGAACGAGTGCATGTGTACTGCAAGTCCGACAATGCTATGTAAGTTTTTAAATTTTGTTTTCAGTTTGATAATTTTAAGAAAAATTTTTTTAACTCACCATTCATAATTCATTGCACTAACAGGCATGGGTAGTGAAATACATTTTGAAAAGAAGATCAATAAGAGAAGCGGGACTATATTGCTTTGCACATGTTGGTCTGTCGGGAGAGATATGTTTCAGAATTCATAAGTTAAGGCTCTGGCCTACAATCCACAAACTTGTTGTTCTTGTTGGTCACCACCAGCAAATGATCCATAAAGATTTTTAGGTCAAAGCTCACAGTGACCCAGATTGTAAAACAATTTCAGGACGAGATCTCTTAGCCCTAGCATCTTCAAACTTTACTAGAGGTTGATCATTACCAGGAGGTGACCCCTATTGATTTTAAGGCTAAAGGTCTAGGCAAACAGGACTTTTTTGGCCACATTAACTTTTTCAGGCAAAATCGACATTTTTCTTTCTCCAAGTTTGACCATGGCCTATATATGACCTTGACCATCAAGGTCAAATTATTGAATTAAACTATAATTCACTATAACTTTGTTATAAATGGATGGACCGTCTAAAGACTTGGACAAAACAACAACTAGGAATATATATAGTCTAGTATAACTGTTCATAATTAGTCTCTTAAGACCTGTCTATAAGTCTCTTAAACTTGTCCATAATTAGTCTCTTAAAACCTGTCCTGAATTAGTCTCCTAAAACCTGTCCATAATTAGTCTCTTAAACCTGTCCATAATTAAGTCTCATAAAACATGTCCTGAATTAGTCTCTTAAAACCTGTCCAAAATTAGTCTCTTAAAAACATGTCCATAATTAGTATCTTAAACCCTATCCATAATTAATTAGTTTCTTAAAACCTGTCCATAATTAGTCTCTTAAACCTGTCCATAAGTAGTCTCTTAAACCTGTCCATAATTAGTCTCTTTGAACCTGTCCATAATTAGTCTCTTAAACCTGTCCATAATTAGTCTCTTAAACCTGTCCATAATTAGTCTCTTTAAACCTGTCCATAATTAGTCTCTTAAACCTGTCCATAATTAGTCTCTTAAACCTGTCCATAATTAGTCTCTTTAAACCTGTCCATAATTAGTCTCTTAAAACCTGTCCATAAGTAGTCTCTTAAACCTGTCCATAATTAGTTTCTTTAAGCCTGTCAATAATTAGTCTCTTAAACTTGTCCATAATTAGTCTCTTAAACTTGTCATTAATTAGTCTCTTAAAACCTGTCCATAATTAGTCTCTTAAAACCTGTCCATAATTAGTCTCTTAAAACCTGTCCATAAGTAGTCTTATAAAATCTGTCTACAAGTAAACCTTACTTTTTAGGGTGGAAGACCTGTACCTGTTATTGTACCCCAAGATGTGAAGGGTCCATTAGACTTCATTGCATCGAAGATGACCAGAAAAGCAGCTGGAATAAGTGAAAGCAACAAGTACTTGTTTCCAAATACTGGTGAGCAATTGAAAAATAAAGTTTTATAAGACATAATGATCAAATACATGTCTTCTTAAAATACTTACAACCATTTTTATATTAGTGCTCATAATTTTCAAAGTTGATTGTCATCTGTTAAAGAAATGATCTATTATAGCTGAAGTTGTATACATGTCATCAGTATGCAACTAATACCAAGGTTTCAGATAAAAAAGCATAAATTGTCGATGTTTATATTTCTGTTAATAACACTTGAAAAAGTTGTGAATATCGAACTAACTAAAATAATTGAATGTTTTTACCATTTGTTTGCATATTAATACATTCTGGAACATTTAATTTCACTACAATTTCTGTTGCAAATATGTAAACAAAGTTGTAATATTGACCTTGCCTGTACATGTAATGTAAATATTTGGGACTCTTTCACCTGTTGTATTTCTTTATCACACAATATTTATATGCTGTGTATCTTTGTCAAAGTATCCTATTTTTTATGATTTTTTTTATTTTTATGCTTTTTATAAAATCTTTTACGATGTTCTGCGTAATACACTTAATGGGTACATTTCCTTTCAGCTCTCAAGTACATTAGAGCATATGACAGCTTGAAGATTGCATGCGATTCGTGCAAGCTGAAATCGCCCCAGCGAATAACAAGTGTGGCCATGAGAAAATATACTGCTACCTTGTCACAGGTTTGTTTCAGCAGTTAAATGAATTGATACCTATATGGAAAAATGTAGAGCTCATTAGAAGCCGCAATTTGAGAAATATGACATTGCTAAAATGAAGAAGAAATTGTCTTGGCAGCATCATAAACCTTCAGTCTGTTGAGGTCTATGACATTTTCATTCTTATGAAACTTTGTCAGAATGTTTATACTGTTTAAATGATCATTGAGCTCAAAACATGGCCATGTGCATCAACCCTTAATCTTTGTTAAGGGGTTAATGTTTGAAGCAGTTTTTGTCATGACCCCTATTTATAAGTTTGCAATCCAATTTCTTCCAGCTGATGAATCTTGATAAGTACCAGATGGACTGGCTGTGTCGTCACCTTGGCCATACAAAACCTGTCCACAGAGAAGCATACAGGCAAATGTCTGGTTTGATTGAGAGAGTCTATGTTACCAAACTAATGATGGTGCAAGACTTGAATTTAACCGGGCAGTTCAAGGGGCAGTCATTAGAAGATATTGATTTGAAAGGTACAGCTGTCTTTTATATATAAATTTTCTTGGTACTGGGTATATTTGCTTGCCAGCTTAGCTCAATATTTCTGACATTAAGTCTAAGGTCGTTTTTATCTCAGTGCTGATTCAGAAATCACATTTTATAACTAGTTAATTCTTTTTATAATATTGACAGTGAACAGTGCACATAATGCAGTCCTTGGAATTGACATTAATTTTTTTTATTCTAGTATATTAATTTTGTAGCATGTTCATATTAATTGCAGATTAAGTTACAGTTGGTTGGATTTATCTGCAGGGTATTATTTAATATTTTGACATATTGCTGCTAATTTAAGAATAATACAAGCGTGTATTTATGTCTCAGATATTGTGTATGGGGCAGATGAGCAGCAGGAAGGAAGAAGAGTTGATGAGACTTTAGACTCTGTTGATGGGTAAGTATATTATGTTGTGCTGTCAAGAAGTAAATTGGTAAATGTATTTTACACCTCGAAATGCTTGATGATACTGCGTGATTACTAGATGACTTTGATGTTGCTTGACTTGCAGCTTCTCTTATGGTTTTTTTTCTCAATTAAATATTTCTGAGGACTGTATCTTTAACAAAATAGATTATGAAGGACACAACATAACTAATTAGTCTGCATAAAAATCAGGCCAAGTGCATATTGTGGCATTGCTTCATGAAATCAATAATACAACTCGACATGCTGTCATTTCAACAATACATAGTGGCTTATTTGATTAGAAGGATGTTAAGTAAGGGTAAATATGTACCAAAATTGATGTAACATTGACTAGATCAATATGATGTAATTTTTAAAGATTCTTGTATCAACTGTTTACAGTATACATGAAGACTCTGACTGTACTCAAGACAAACAGTCAGGAAAAAGAAACTTCAGTGCTATTTCCTCAGATGAAGAAGATAAAGTACATGCACCAGAAAAAAAGAAAAGGAAAAAGATGACAGCTCGTCAGAGATGGACTGATACTGAAGTTGAAGAGTTAAGGACTTATTTTAAAACCTACCTTGACAGTGGAATAACTCCTCGCAGACCTGCTTGTTTAAAAGCAAAAAAATGAGTCAGGAAAAGGGTGGTGAGATTTGGAGAAGGGCAAATCACCTGATTATCAAGAAGATCAGCAATATGAACCATAAGTAAAACCACTGAGTTTAATTAAACATTGTTCATATTGCCATAAGAATTTGTCCTTTAGAATATTGTTGTAATCTTAAATACTTATTGTTGGATTTTCATGGAAATTACATATAGGTCAGTCAGCTTAACACAGTGTTTCTTTTTTTAAATGACTGGTTAAATAAGATAGTACACTTCTGTTAGCCTATTAATTTAGGAAAAGCATAGAGTTATTATAATGGGAGAGAGAGTATTACCATGGAATGTGTGCATGGTACATTGACATTGTAAATCTGAATTTTGTAACCATAATTCAACCTTGTTCCTCAGATTTTTTTGTTTACCCTTGTTTATTCATTGATCTGAAGCCATTTTCATCTAGTGTTCTTTATTTCTTTAGCCTGTTAAGGACTTGTTAGAAAAAATATAGGCTACCTAAAAACATTTATTTTTCATTGCAAATGTTGTTTTGTTCATCAACAGTTATTTTTCTCCATCTTATGAATAAAGTTATAAAGGAGGCACTCTGTTTTGTTTCGTTTCATTATGTGACATTGTGCATCATTAACCCTTCATAGTATTTATAACCATGTAAAATTTCTTAAAAATTTACCTATTCAAATAACTTGTATAACATGCGGAAATCGTGATGAAATATCAACATAATACATGTCTGTTGCCATAACTGAATTTCACTAAGGCCATTTACTGACAGATTATGGTTACCTGTTGAGAAATTAGTAATGACTGCTTAGTTGTCCCAAGAAAGCCATTAAGATGGACCTAGTACTGAGATATGAACAAAAATGTATGGAGAAATGCATGTAATCCAGACAAACAAAAGGAATTGTTTGTCTCTTGTTAAGTTTTCTACCAACTAGACCATCAAACTCTTATTTACAGTTCTTGTTAAACATGTATGTTCTATAAAGAGATTAAATACTTTTATTTAGACTCTTTAAATACGGACATAAGTCAACACATAAAACTGAAATGTTAGAAAACTTTTTGAAGACGCATAAAACCTAATTGAATGAAGTCACATTATCCATAGACTCTTAAACCCAAAATGTTCGTCCGTCCGTCGCATGTCTGTGCGTCCGGGTTCATAACTCTGTACTGCATGAATGGATTTCGATATAATTTGGCAAATATGTTTAGCTTATCACGATGATTTGTCACGCAAAAGAACAATGCCCTATCTCAAAGGTCACACTTAATGATGTACTGATAAAATCCATGACATATCCAACCATTCGTGTCCGAGCTGTATTTCCCTTATTAATGGGAGGATTTCAAAATAATTTGGTAGAAATATGTTCCATATCAAGACGACGTGCCGCGCGAAAAAACCATGCCCCAATCTCAAAGGTCAAGGTCACACTTGATGCTTTAATGAATATATGTATGATATTAGGCAATTATTCGTGTCCGAGCTGTATTTCCCTTATTTATGGAAGGATTTCAAAATAATTTGGTACAAACATGTTCCATATCAAGGCGACATGTCGCGCGAAAAACATGTCTCTTTCTCAAAGGTCAAGGTCACACTTGATGTTTTAATGAATATACAGTCCGACCCCGGTTATTCGACAACCCTTTATTCGAATACCCGGCATTATCCGAAGTAGATCGCCGGTCTCGTTTTTATCTCTATATAAAACAATATAAATACGAGCGTATTATTCGAAATGCATTATCCGAATACCTCCTATTTTTCGAAGTAAAAATTCGGTCCCGATTATACAATTACGAAAGAATTTCACACCTATTATTCGAAGCCAGCCTAATTATTATTCGAAGCTAGACTAATTGACGCAGATCCACTCGCTGACCAGTCGACTTGTGAAAAATATCCACAGTCATGCGTGTAATTAGACAATCATGATAATAACACTTCATGTGTTCTTTAATCAACTTTAATTAACGAAAATGAAAAGCTATGCACCGTGTCCGATTTTGTTTAAGATGACAGCAATAATTTTTATACATTCCGTATATGTGAATTTGTCAAAACATCAAAAACATTTTTTTCATTAATTGTAACGCTAAATGAGAGCCTTAATTTATCCTAATCGAAAATACCAGAGTTTAGCTGTAAATACCGTAGTGACGACACAGCCATTATCAAGACTTTGCGCGAAATGAAACGATACATAATGTAAAATAAAATGCAAGTATTTATGTCTTAAATGTCAATACAATAATTTTTACACATCTTTTCTTTAATATCAATTTTTCTCAATTGATTACAGGAAGCAAGTGTGTTGTAAACAGTAGTTTTGCGGTGATTGGTCAAAGTGGAGTAGTTTTCGTCTATCACAATATTCCGATTTCGATTATTCGAACCTATCGATTATTCGAAGTAAATATTAAGTCCCAGGCACTTCGAATAAACGGGGTTAGACTGTACATGATATAATGCAACCATTTGTTTCTGAGCTGTATTTTCTTTATACTCGGAAGGATTTCAAAATTATCTGGTACAAACATGTTCCATATCAAGTCGACGTCTCTATCTCAAAGGTCAAGGTCACACTTGCTGCTTTAATATTTATAATTATGCAATCAGTTGTGTCCAAGCTGTAATTACTTTATATGTGGAAGGTTTTTACAATAATTTAGTACAAATGTGCTGCAAATCAAGATGATGTGTTTGGCAAAAGAACCATGTCCCCGTTTTAAAGATCGAGATCATCCTTGCTGCTTTAATGTTAATATGGAATTATTCATGTGGAAGCTGTATTTCCCTAATTTGAAAATCTACTTGGACAACAGAATTCAGGATCTGACATCACAATTTGAGTCACCATCATATGCAACCTGGTTACTCTGGCAAGAATCCTGATTTTCAACAAGCGTAGAAGTGCAGAAGCATCAAAATTGTTGCTGTCAGCCTACAATGAGCGTCCAAACTGAAGAGAAAACGCCAACCAGGAAATCTTCGTCAGCCTCACTGAACTGGAGCAAAATATGTTTAATAGGTACATGTATAATTATTTATTGATAGTTTTCACCAAACTTGGTCAAGTTATATGTCATTGATATCCGCTCCATAAAACCTATACTAATGGAAGGATCTTTTCTAACTTGACCCAAATTTTAACCCCAACAAGACTATGTGCATGTTGCATTTGTGTCACCTCATGGTCATGTTCACTCTGGAAGTTCAGACAATTTGTTGTGTCCGCTCTATAAATCCTGTACTCCGTGAAGGATATATTTCAAACTTGGTTCAAATGTTCATCTCTAGAGAGCAATAGGCAGAACCCTTTTCAAGTATCAAAGTCAGCTTCTATCAGTGATATTGGTGGATGTATGAATTGCATTCAACGATACTTTAGTTGACCATGACACCTGTTTGGTCTTTACCATTCATGTCAAAAGCAGATTTTTAAACATGTTGTTACCAATTTAACTGTACCTAGAGTATTGGCTGTATTGATTTTTCAGAATGGACATGATTGAAACACAAGGTAAAATGGACAAAAAGGTGCCCACCTTGCTCTCATCTCAAATGGTTCATGCCATAGACACACTGAATGAGTACAGAAGTCCATGTGGGATAAAAGCAATGAACAAGTACATCTTTGCCAACCAGGAGACTGGTCATTTAGACTCCTGGCAAGTCCTGAACAAAGTCGCTGTCAAGGCAGGATGTAAGAAACCAGAACTGATCAACTCTGTCTCATTAAGAAAATACATTGCTACAGATAGCCAGGTATTGAGAAAAAACTAAATAGAATTTTTGGTGTGTTGAAAACAAATAGTGCACCTATAAAGATAGTTATTGTTAAGTTAAATCCAACACCTAATTAATGCTAACGCCAACACTAAATAAATATATTTCACTTTAATGTATGGTCATAATCAACAAAGTAACTTCATTATTCCAATCCTAACGTTGCTAAGCAAGTTGATGACGTCGTGACGTTATGACGTCATAATGACGTTATATAAAGTTTACTAAACAAAAATAAGATGAAATTAACATTAATTATACTTTCTTTCTTTTCTTCTTTTCTGTGATGTTTTGAGTCATTAAAAAAACTGATGTTTTGAGTCATTAAAAAAAATGTAAGATATAAAAATGTTAAAATTCTACAAGTCTATATAAAATCTTTTGAAATTGTTCCTTCTTGTATTACACACAGCAGATCATATCCGGATGCCCCACGCTTAGTCATACAGTCAGCCAAATGATGTTTCCCTGGGCACCATCGAATTTCTTTGACTTCATTTCTGGACAAGGATTCGCTGATTGCAGCTATATCTACACGAAGACGCTTGTCATCTACTAGCTTGGTTGAATTCACAGCTTCTATTACACTTCTATTGTCCACATAAGCAATTATTGGTATTGTGTGATTGGGTATCCTTAGAGCGTTTTCGATCATTTGTCTGTAATAATATCCACATTCTAATCCTTCTTGTAAACTGAGAGCTTCAGCAGCAATTGTTGATCGTACTACCCTTTTTATTTTGTTGGTATGCCAGAAAAGTGGACAACATTTTCCAGAAGTGTCCATTAACCATACTATATAAGCCGCAGTGCTCCCTGTTCCAGAATTTATGTTGCACAAAGATGCATCTGTGAAGACTGCAATTTTCCAATCACCTATAAAGTTGCTCAATAGTGGGAATCATATAAAAGACTTGAAGTTTTTTCAATCTGTTCACATTTTATGCCTACAATTTAAGTGGCATATATTAAAACTGACTGCATGAAATAATGCCACTCAAGTCGGTCTTATATATGGGCCCCGTAGGTGATGGTATGTGTGAATATATATATATATATATATCAGGCCTTTTTTTTCAATTTTGGGGAAACGGCCTGGCCTTTCAGTTGGGGAAAAAATGGCGATAAAATGACATTTTGGGGAAAATCTATTACATTAAAAAATTAGTTAATAACTTTAAAATTAACAATAAACACATGCCCTAAAATTCAGGTGAGTCATAAACAATGAAAACAGTTCAAATCTTTGGCCTTGAATTACTTAAACATACAAAACCACTTTTTTTTTAGTTGGAATCACTTGAGTCAATATCATTTGTGATGTTGCCAAGCTTCAACAGTGTTGTAACCTCCTCAAACACCTCCCCTATTTATTTCAGAATGGTTGCTTTGATTTTTCTATGTAAAAACTGCATTAAGTGCTAAATTAATTAGATGATGATTCGCAAAGGACATTTTGACACTTAATGCACAAAAATCAATTGACTGTTTTATGTTTTGTAAGTTATTTACTTAAACTAACACATCCCTCTCCAAATTCAAGCCGAAAATCAAACAGGAAGTAGGTCGCGAAAATATGTGATAATAGAATATTTTGCCGATTTTTGGTATTAATATAACTCCATGTTCCTCCAGACTATGATTGAAATCTATAAGAATAAATAATATAACATATTTTTACAAATGTCTGCATATTTTGAGGAGAATTTTCACAAAGACAGAATGTTTAGAGATATGATCAGCGTAATGGGAGGATTGCCCATCGTCGGCATTGGACTTTTTACTTGCAGGACAATCGGTAATATCAAACACTGTAGGCCTATAAAAATTTGAACTATTTGAACAAAAATGTGATTTTTTAAACAAGCAAGCCATAATAGTTGATTTTATTCAGACCAAGGGGAATTTTTTAGCTCAAGGGGATTTTTTTTCCAGCTCGGGAAGTAGCCGTTCAACGGCTACAATTATATAGCAAAAAAAAACCCTGTATATATAGTTATATATACCCCATAAGTTGTATATACTTTACTATCCTAGCTTAATTTTAATTATAAATGACTCATTTCTAACTTTATTTGAACTTTATCAACTAGACATTTTAACAAATAATTTATGGTTTGGTCTTTTCTGTAGCCTTGTTTCCTCTTGGACCTTTGTGTTCAAACTAACACTTAATTGGTTTATCAAAATCAACACATATAACAACATGTTCAATTCCTACAGTTAACATGTATAATGCTGGTTTGTTGTTCTCAAGTTGTATGTCCTTGATGTCTGCACTTTTGACTACAAACTTTTTATCCAGTCCAAAATTCATGTTAAATGGTGTTCCAGTTCAGGAACTATAGAAATTTAGAAAACCATCACCACTTCAAAAGTTTCTGTTGTCTATATACTCTACCAATCCTGTATTTTATGTGGTATATTTTAAAAACCACATGCCCAAATGGCCTATGATTACAAAATCCTAAATTCTTTGACTGAGTTATTCAGCTTCAGATATTATTATTGGCTTGACAATAATTTTTGAGAGTAAATGTAAATTTAAGAAAAGAATTGTAATAGAGAGAGTAAATCTGCAATTCTAATGAAAAAGCAGTGTTTATGATGTAATTCATAAAAATGTGTAAAATATATAATTATATATGTCATTAGATTTGTTCAGGATACAATTAATAGAAGCCAGAGGTAAAAGTACTAGGGGAGTCAGAAAGGTATTCATCCATTTAACACCTGATATGGTTAACGGCATGGAGTATCTTCTGCAAACAAAGGCATATGCTGGTGTCAAATCAGACAACAAATATGTATTTGGAAGGACATGTGCTACCCCTCAGGATGGTTGTACAGCAATGAGGGAGGTTGCTAAAGCTTGTCCTGGTCTTTCCAATCAAACTTGATTAGGACAAGACTTCTTCGAAGGTACCTGGCTACAAGTACACAGGTATAAGTTTTATGTTTGTCAGACTGATATTTAGCTGGTCTGTTTGGAAGAAAAAGTCAATCTATTGAGATGGCTCTTCTCGTCATCTTTTACCAAAAACCGCGGAATCATCATCAGGTGTAAGAAAACTTCTTTCAACCTTCAACTCTGATGACATATCAAGAATTGTAAAAAGCGATAGCCTAATCTTGAAACTAGGAGAAAAACTGTTCAAATGGCATGGACATGACAATTAACAATATGGTGCTATAAGGAATCAATTGAGAGAACTTGGACGTTTGTTGCAAAAACTTTGACGGATATCTGAGAAACCTAATGCTGCAATAGACACAATAATCCAACCTTATTCCAAAAAATCATAAATGCAACCCATATTATCTCTGGATTTTCTGAAAAAAATAACAGCTTCAAAACAACATCCTTGGCATTAAAGATGGGCCACTCATTGAAGAAATGTTGCAAAATTATTGTAGGCGAAGCACTGCAAACCCAATGATGTGGAAAAGAGAGAGAGGTCCATTGCATTATTTAGGCTGATAGAGATGAACTGGAATGAAGAGGTTTCTACGCATACATTGAGAACTCTTGGAGAACGCGAAAGGAACGAAGTGAAACTCATACCACTCACTAACGATGTCAAACTGTTGAACGAACATTTGACATCAACAGGCAAAGGCGCATACAAAGCACTAGAGGTCAGCAAAGCCAACATTACGGCATGAATGGATCTTTGTAAAAGGACTTAAGCTCAGATAATACTCTTCAACTGAAGATGTCGAGGAGAAGTTTCAAAGATGACATAAGTGGACATCAACAAACACCACAGAGCAAGTGATGAAGATGTCTCCAAAGCATTGTCATCATTTGAGAAGAAACTTTGTCAAGTTTTTCGAAGGGTTGAAATTGTTGGGAAACGGCAGAACAGTGCCTGTTCTATTAACTATTGGAAGTTAAAACCTTGATTGATATGCTTGTCCAAACCAGGAGCGACGTAGGAGTCAGCTTGCAAAATAAATTTATATTTGCAAGGCCGAACTTTGGGTCACAAGGTCACATCAGAGGTAGTGACTGTATAAGAGAATTGAGTGAGGAATGTGGCACACAACATCCAGAATTGCTGTGTTCAACAAAACTGAGGTTTCTGATAGCAACACTCTCTCAAATCCTCAACCTAAAAAACCATGAACTGGATTTCCTTGCTGATTTTCTGGGACATGACATACATGTACATCGCGAGTTTTATCGTCTGCCTGAGCATACACTTCAAGTGGCCAAAGTATCAAAAATCTTAATGGCACTGGAGACAGGGCAGATATCAAAGCATGCTGGGAAAAGCTTGAATAAAGATGACGAAGGTAATTTTAGTGTACCGAAACTTTCACTTTACGCTAAAAAGTTAATAGTTCTTATTGATTAGTTCTTATTGAGTAATATCACTCAAAAAACATAACACAATACCCTCTGAAGCCAAGATATTTTTTTTTTATTCTGTAAAAATTGTTCATTTTGATATTTTTTATATATAAATTACGTATTTACGACGCTTTAAGGCATCAAATAGATAAAAAAAATTATTTTGGACATGTACGAAGTTCAATGTATATTTACCGAATTTTTTTTTCTTACATTATTAAATTGATGTAGACAATGTTTCTGACTGTGACATGGACGAGGAAGATGAACTAGGTAATTTAAATGTTGTTGTTTTTTATTGACTGATATAACTGAAATGTATTAATAAGAGTACGAATCTGACTTTAGGATTTGCAAATATTCATAATAGCAAGAGCACCGAGTTCTATATAAATTCGAGTCTATGTGGATTATGGAATTGGAAAGTGTTGGGCACAAAAGACAAAGTTGATACAAATTCATAGGATTAGATGTGTATTGAAATGACTAAATGTGTAACAACTTCATCTAGTGATCGTTTGACACTCTTATCCAATCAATGATAATGATTCTTCAACTGTTTGGTTTTGTATGTCCATAAACTTTTTAATCTGTAAAAAGCACAAAAAAATTTAGCTCGGTATAAATGGAACAGCCAAATAGCCACTGACAAGTCACAGTGCAATTTATTGTGTATTTTATCACTGTTGTCATTCATGAAATTTCACTAAAACTTCTCCATTATAAATTACTCTTGTGCAAATGTAGTTTCACTTAGTTTATATTATGTTTATACAGTAAAGTACTGAAGCTATAAAAATTTCTTTTATAAACATTAAAATGATAGTTGGATTCTTTTCAAACACAAAACAATTTAAGAAAAAAACAATTCAACAGGTAACAGCAGAAGCAACTGGAGGTACTACCAGGTAATGAACGACTGGCTTGCTGACGATCAAGCTGTCATCCCAAAGAAAGTGGTCAGTTCCATGAAACCAGTTGAAGCTACCCCTAGCTAAAATGGGACACGTCCTACATTATCTAATGGAGGACAGTGTGTCTCGTTCAGTGGAACACAGCCTGCAGTCTTTAATAGAAGAGACCACAGTTCAAACAGGCCAAGAATAAGAAAAAGACATCGCTCGGGATACGACGATGAACCGCCACAATGGTTTGCTGAATACCAGCCCAATCAGCAAAAAATGCATGAGGAAAACGATAGCGTTAGATACCAGTCGTGTTTCAGCATTAGAGTTCCTGGTTAAACAGTTACAAAATCAACAGTCAAAATAAATTAATACCTGACTTACAACACTTCATTAACTATCTATATTTAACAGAAAAGAAGCCAAACACTGAATAGATACTTTTAAAAATTTCAAATCATTATAGAATTTGTTTAAATATTGTTCATATATATATATAGTATATATGAATTAACTTTTTAAAGTGATCAAATGGAAATGTGTTCACAAAATAATCTGATAAACTAGAAATGTGTTGTCATGCCACGGATGCCCCCGCATGCACCCAAAATTTCAGATGTTATAATATTTAGTTCCAAATTTGTTTGCACAAATTATTTTTTTCATTTTAAGTTCAAAGCCCTTAAAACTATTAAATGTTAACATAAAACATTCTTAAACAAAGTTCAAGGCACTGAAATTATTCAGTGTTAACCTTTGGTAAATTGCATATTGCATATTTCTAGCCAAATTAATGGCTACAGACATTTCCACAAAAGTATGAGTGCTGAAACTGAAAATTCAAAATTTTTCCAACATTCAAGGGAGATAACTTTGTCCTAAATCATTGAACCACGACCATATTCAAGCTTGAACTGCTTATTCCTAAGATGTATCTATATGTCAAATTTGAGTCGAATGTGTACAAACATTGGGGAGATAATGAACTGAAACTTAAAATTTCTGATTTTTTTTCAAAGTTTTAGAGGGATAACTCTGTCAGCTATCATCAAACCATGACCAAATTGGAAATTGACCAATGCATTCTTATGACATATCCATATATATCTTTAATTTGAGTTGAATATGTAAAACTGTTGGGGAGATAATGAATGGGAACTGAAAATTTCCTTTTTTTCAAAGTAAAACTCTGCCAAAAATCATCGAACCATGACAAAAAATTTGAACTTGACCTGCGAAATATGGTGATAAAATACTGCACGACGACCAGTGTTAAACCTCACATAACATGTAAATTATAACTTGAATCTTGAATGTTTTTACCTTTCTTAAAAGTTTAGTGCACTTTCCTCAATATTGATTTTTTTTAAATATTTTGGCTCATCAGATTCTGGAGGCGTACAGCTTTATGGCTTAAGCTACTGTAATTTAAAAAGACTACTGCTGATATGAAGTATGATTCTATAGCTGGCAATCAAACATCGTCATAATGGAGCAAAAAGTCACGTAACTGACATTTTTGGATAATTAGACTTTTTTGCATTTTTTTAAAAAATATACCATTTTGCATAGCCTATTAAAATATTTTTGTTGAATTCACTTGAAAAATGCATTTTTTTCCAAAAAATACAACTGCTGTAACTTCAATGCTTTTTTGTTTGGTGCAAAAACTGATGTAAGTGCACTTACTATAGTTTTTGCACCAAAATTTTTTTAAACTCTTGACGCAAAAAGTACTGTAACTGCACTTACCATACTTTTTGCATTAAATGTTTTTAACCTTTTTAATTATTATATTTGTAACTCCATATAATATCATAATAAAAACATTTACAAAAATTGAAAATCTAAGTTATAATAATTAAATTTAAATTAAATTTAAATTTAATTTTAAAAAATGATGTCACTGATGATGTCATAAAGAAGCAGTGATGATGTCATAATGTAAAATTTCAAAGAAACTGCTGACATTCAATTTTCAAGATCTTGGCTGCTGAAATTTAAAGGTAAAAATTTGTTTTTATTTTTATTTATTTAATAATAAAAATAATAATAATAAAAATAATAATAATTATGATAATAATAATAATAATAGTATTATGATGATTATGGTTGTGAAGATGATGATCATAATGTGAATAATGATTACTACAACAATATTAATAAAAATGTTAATATAAAATGTTTTTCAAATTTATACTAGATCTAATGTTTTTTTGATTTTGCTCATATTTTTTTTACTCTTTGTTTTACTGATAATGTTGTGTTTTTTCACGTTTTTAATGATGTAGAAAGCTCAATTAAAACTCAATATTCTCAGTACTTATTTTATTAATTTACTAAAGCTTGTTTTATTTGCTTTTTAGATGATTCAAGCATCTTATCACCAAGGTGACACAGTTTTCAAAAGCCAAGGTCGCCAATGCATGGTTAATTCTCTGTGCTGCATTTTAGAAAGTAAAGTTTCAAAACCATCCACATGGACCTCCTCTTCATTAGATAAAATATTAAAAGATGGTGACAATAATTATCAGTCATTGATAGAGAAAAATCCACGCTTAGAGTATTTATTGCCAAGTGACCTTCCAGAAACCATATTTGACACACCAGTATCTTTTGCTTCACCATTCTCTGGTACATTAAACAGGAATGATACAGAATTACCATTTTATGACATAAACACAGCTCTTTGTCTGATTCGTGAGAGTAACCCAACCGGGATTATTATATCTATTGGTTCCCATTCTCCGTCATATTCCTCAGCCATTATATGGGATGAACAACAGTATTATGTTTTTGATCCCCACAGTAGGAATGAATGTGGCATGGTGTGTGCAGATGGTAAAGCCACATTAACAGTACACAAAAATGTTGCTGCTTTATGTCTTCATCTGAAACATCTTTGTGCTTCAATATTTACAAATGTGAATGAACCCTTTGAACTTTGTGGTGTCAATTTGTTTGAAGACATCCCAAATTGGGGATCTGATTTTGAAACTTCTTCGGAGTCTGGGTCTGACTTTTCTGGTTTTGATCCTGTAAGTGACAGTGAATTGATATTGCTTAAAGAGAAATTACAGGAAATTGACAATTCTAGTGAAACTGAATTAGATGAAAGCAGCTGTTCAAGCTTTTCAGACTTGATTGATGAAACTTTGGCATCTCAGTCTTTGTTAGATGACTCAACATTGTGCCTAGATGAAACTGTATTAAACAATATTACTATAATAGTAGAAGAACAGAATGAACCGTGTGTAAATGATGCTGCTAATGCTCAAGAGTCTACAAATGATATAAACATTAATACTAGAAAAAGGATGTCACGTAAACGTGTTAGAGATGAATCAAATTGGAAACGAAATGTACTAAAGTGCAAAAAAAACACTGGCCAAAGTTATGAAACAGCAAGTGGCAGTATAAAAAGACCCAGGATTGTCAAAAATGGTTGTGGTTTTAATTGTAGAAAGAAATGTCATTCAAAAATAATGCTGGATGAAAGAGAAAAGATATTTCACCACTTTTGGTCCACTGGCAGCTATGAAAAACAAAAAGAATTTATTGGTCATACTATTTTAGAAGTGCCAAGAAAGAGAATTTTAAACAAAACTGACAGTAGAAGAAGGGTTTCAAGGCAATACTTTTTTCAAATGCATGGACATAAAATACAAGTTTGTAAGCAGTTCTACCTAGACACTTTAGATATAAGTGAGGCTGTAGCATACAGTGCTTTAAGTAAAAAATGTGCATATGGTGGTATAACATCAAAAGACCAAAGAGGAAGGCACAAAAACAGACCAAACAAAATACCACATGACATTGTAACTGATATTAAGCAACACATTGCAAGTTTCCCAAGAGTTGAATCCCATTACTGTAGGAAAAGCTCCAATAAAGAATATCTTGAAGCTGATTTAAATTTGTCTAAACTCTATGATTTATACAAAGAGAGATGTTGTATGAACAATTATGTTCCCCAGTCAATCCATACATATAGGCACATTTTCAACACGCAGTTTAACATAGCATTTAATAAGCCACTCAAAGACCAGTGTGACATATGTAGCACTATCAAAAATATCAATGAAAATAAAGAAAATTCAATGTCAAATTTTGAGTTTGAACGACATATTAAAAACAAAAATCTAGCCAGAAAAGAAAAAGAGGCAGATAAATCATCTGCAAAATCTAATGAATCCTTTGTAGCTGCTTGTTTTGACTTACAGCAGGTATTTACACTGCCTAAATCTTTTCAAGGGCAACTTTACTATGCTAGAAAACTAAACAACTATAATTTGACAATTTACAGTCTAGGCAATAGTGATGCTTACTGCTACATCTGGAATGAGACTTTGGCAAATCGTGGTTCAAATGAAGTTTCCTCTTGTGTGTTTTGATTTTTTTCAAAAAAATGGCAGCCAAAGGTGTCAAATCCGTTACTACTTACTCTGATAATTGCTCGGGCCAAAATCGCAACAGATACTTTGTTGCCATGCTTTGGTATAGTCATAAAACTTTGAAACTTAAAACTGTAAAACACAAGTTCCTTGAGAAAGGACACACTCAAAATGAAAATGATTCGGTACATTCGAGTATAGAGCAAGCTTGCAAGAACATTTCATTATATACGACAGCACAATTTGCTACAACTGTACAGATGGCTCGCAGAAAGCATCCATATAGTGTCACTGAGATGACAATGAACAATTTCTTTGACTTTAAACTTATGGAAACAAATATAAAAAATTTAGATATAGATGAAAATGGTAAGAAAATAAGATGGAAAGAAATTAGACACATTGAGTTTAATGATGAAAGTCCAGATTGTTTGATGGTTAAGTATGACTTTGATGGTGACACGCATTTTGTGAAGTTGAGTCCAAACTTAAGGAAAAATTCCAAAGAACCAAAACTGTTCAAACTTTTTCAAAATACAGATGGGCCAAAATTGTCCAGAGATAAATACAAAGACTTAGTTGAATTATGTAGGAAAAATACCATTCCTGCAGCCTATCATAGCTTTTATGAAGATCTGCCTCATATGTCAGGAAAATGATTATACTACTGACAGCAATCTAAGCATTACCCTAGTATAAATGAGCCGTGTCATGACAAACCCAAAATAGTGTGTTTGCGACCAGCATGGATCCAGACCAGCCTGCGCATCTGCCCAGTCTGATCAAGATCCATGCTGTTCGCTATCAGTTTCTCTACTTGTTATAGGGTTAGTAAGCGAACAGCATGGATCCTGATCAGACTGCGCGGATGCGCAGCCTGGTCTGGATCCATGGTGGTCGCAAACACATTATGTTAGCTTTGTCGTGACACGGCTCAAATGTATACTTTCAGTAAGAACTACAGGTTAATCATTGTATATTAAAAAGATGTAGTTTTTTTATAAGAAATGTTTGTGTGTCCACAAAAAAATACAGTTTGTTATCAACAATGTGTTAAATTATGATAAAAGAAAATTATGTTCATTAAAAGGTGCATGAATCAATTACTCAAGAAATATTGCTTGTAACTATGGGCACCTAGTGTAAATTCACTTAAGCCGGCACTATTATGTGTGCAGCCTTAGCAGGATCTACACTGTTTACTGATTATTTATTTTCAGACTACTCTTAAATTGAGTAGAAATACGGTAGTATTATCAGTTGAAGACAATGATAAAGATTTGGTACTGTTGTTATGTTGTATGTTGTAATTTAAACAATAATGATAGCAATTAAGCATAGTCCTGTTATAGTTCTGTTATTTTATGTATAATAATCAAAGTTTTACATTTTTGCAGTTACTGTTACAATGTTACATGTACATTAAATGAAAAACAAGGAACATCGCAATGCGATGCAACCAGATTTTCAGCAAAATATTTCACAGAAGCTTTGTCATGAAGGGGCATTTGTTTTTAATTGAACTTTTAGGAGGAATTATGGCTTTTTTAATATTCCTCAAACAAAAATGATTGAGAAATTTTATGTTGTCTATACTCCTTTTTTCCCCAAATATTTTAGAAAGGTAAACAGTACTTTATTTTTGCTTTATTTTTGCATTTTTGCGTCTCTTGTCATTTTCTTTCGTCAACAATATTGGCGTGTGGTGTTTTGTTGCGATATCAAGAAAAGTATGTCTCACAATTTTAAAAAAATACTTGAATGATGTCTTGGAAGAAACATGGGAATTAGTGAGCGCCAGGGCACTTGATGACAAAGCTTCTGTGAAAGTTTGGTCAAAATCCATTGAGAAATGTAGAAGGGAGAAGTTGCGCACTGTAAAAATTGTTCACTATATATTCTGTATAAGGAAAAATATACAAAGGGCCATAATTCGGTCAAATATTATCCAATCACAAAACCCCGACAATATGTGCCAGGCACTTGATAACAAAGCTTCTAAGAAAGTTTGGTCAAAATCCGTTGAGAAATGTAGGAGGAGTTTGAGGCACAGAAGAAATTGTTCTCTATATATTCTGTATAAGGAAAAAATATACAAAAGGGCCATAATTCAGTCAAATATTATCCAATCACAAACCCTGACAATATGTGCCAGGCACTTGATAACAAAGCTTCTAAGAAAGTTTGGTCAAAAATCCATTGAGAAATGTAGGAGGAGTTGCGCACAGAAGAAATTGTTCACTATATATTCTATATAAGGAAAAAACAAAAAGGGCCATAATTAGGTCAAATATATACCAATTGCAAAAACCCTGGCAATATGTGACAGGGCACTTGATGACAAAGCTTCTGAGAAAGTTAGGTCAAAATCCGTTGAGAAATGTACGGAGGAGTTGCGCACAGAAGAAATTGTTCACAGTAATATATTTTATATAAGGAAAAAAAAAACAAAGGGCCATAATTAGGTCAATATTATCTAATCGCAAAACCCCGACAATATGCGCAGGGCACTTGATGACAAAGCTTCTGTGAAAGTTTGGTCAAAATCCGTTGAGAAATGTAAAGGAGGAGTTGCGCACAGAAGAAATTGTTTACGCCCGCCCCCGTCCGCCCATCCGCCCGCCCGCCGACATACCTCATCTAATAACCAGTTTTTTCCTTCGGAAAACGGTTAAAAAAATAATTGCTCTTTACTTGGTCAAAAATCGTTGAAAAATGTAGGAGGAGTTGCGCACAGAAGAAATTGTTTACGCCGCCCGTCCGCCCATCCGCCCGCCACCGCCCGCCCACCGCCCGCGCCGACCATACCTCAATCTAATAACCAGTTTTTTTTTCCCTTCGGAAAACCATGGTTAAAAAAACAATTGCTCTTTACTTGTCTCTCAATTATATTTAAATGAATTGAACTTTAAAAAAAGAATAAATTGAGTTGAAAGCAAAAAAAAAACAACATTTTTACAATTCATTTCATCTCAAGAATTCAAAAATTTTGGGTGCAAAACTTGTGTAACTACACTTACATGACTTATTGCACCATAAAAATGTCAGCGCAAAAAGTCATGGTAAGTGAAATATAACATCAAATATCTTTAAAGCAATATTTTAAACTTTATCTGTTAATATACCCATTCTAACAGAAAAATTTAAAAATATGTATAAAATCAATTCAATTAAAAGATATTGTTTAATGGATATTAGAAAAATAGTTTTTTGCTTCTCCTGAACATTTTTTCTAAAATGTAAGTTTACAGTAACTTTTTTGCGCCAAATGACAACCATGTTTCAATAGGTTTTTATAGTTTAAATTTTTATCACTCATCAGTACCTAGAACAAAAGAGACGCGATATATATCACTCAATTTGTGCTCAGACCTTATTTTTCCAATTACAGGAAACTGTAACACCAAACAGCCAACTTTGATCAGAAATAAATCGTCAGGCAGCTACGGCCGACCACATAGCTTGATGGCGCTCATTTATGACGCTCCATGGAGGCGCATTATACAGAACAATAATCACGCAAGAGCGGGGACTGTTTACTAAAAGGGAATAAAGAGTCTGGCTAAGCCGAATCAAAAGCCTTTACGGAAGAGAGGTTATGGCTTCCTCCGTGGGTTGGTCTGACATGTCTTGTGGTTCACGCACAGGAAGCTGAGCCTCAAGGTCAAGTAGTAGGCATCCACCAAGGGAAACCAGCTGTTAGTCCAGCAAGTTTTTGTGAAGTAAAAACCGAAGGGCTCCCCGAGGAATTTTTTCCCTGAGGGGGAATTAAAAACAGGTGCACAGGGACTTTCCCAAACGGGTTTGGGCCCTTTTGCAGTTTTTGGGGGAAGGGAAATTTCCCTGAACTGGGAAAGGCCCGATAATTGAGTTATTAAATACAATTGGTATGGGGGGAAACCAAATGAAAAAAAATAAATTGAAAAGTTTCAAGAAAGGAGGTAATCAAAAAGGGAAATTTACCTTTTTCCTCCCCAAAATCAGTGACGTGATGTTTTTAAGGGGTTTCGGGTAGTCCCCAAAAACAATGGTCCCCAAGAAAAATGGAAAAAGAAAAGGGCCACTCCAAGAAAAAAGTGTTAAAAAATAAAATTTAGTGTGTCACCCTCTGCAAATTTTGGGGGGCTGAATTTCAAATTTCCCTGGGTCTGTAGATAGGGTAGGCTTTTATATATAAGTGGAAAAAGTAAAAAGATGAAAAACCATTGTGTATGTGTTTTGGTATATTTGTTCTGTAATAAAAAGTGTGTTATTTTTATTTTCGTCCATGTTTCTATTATAAAAATTGTGTTATTGGTTGTTTTCTTATATGTTTTGTTATAAAAATAAGAACTCCATATATGGAGTGTACCCCCGCATTACAACTTTTCAAAATCAACAGTGGCCATTTAGAGCTCAAGGACAAAACCTCCCTGCAAAATCTAGGTTTACATAAGCCAGTGCATTGCCCTAAGTTATGTATTCCATTGCTTCATCTACTAATCATTGCAGTAACCCTCCAATTGACCAAATCATAAGACTAAGGGCAAAAGGAATCGTTATTGGGCGGACAAGCTTTTTGAAAGGTCAAGGTCCTGTGACCCTTGACCTTTGACCCTGTTGACCTCGAAAATCAAGAGGGGTCATCTACCTAATCATGCTAAAACCCCCTGCCAAATTTTGAAAACTTAAAAATGTAAAGGGAAATTTAAAATTTTGAGCGGAAAAGCTTTTTGAAGCAAGGCCCCCCGTTACCCTTTCCCTTTTACCCTCAAAAATCCAAAAAGGGGTCATCTTTTTAAAACCCTGACTAACCCCCCATGTCCCAAAAAATGAAGCTAAGGTTCAAAGGAATCTTAAATTATTGGGCGGACCAAACTTTTTGAAGTCAAGGCCCCCTTTTTGACCTTTACCTTTTACCCGTGACCTCAAAAACTTTTGGGGTTAAACCCAATAAACTTTACTTTCCCCCAAAGCCAAAAATGAAAACTAAGGGTCAAAGGGAATCCCCAAGTTTATTG